GCCCGAGAGACGCGGGCGGCACCTTGCTGCGGGGAGCGCCGCCAGCACCGGCCTCGCGGGGAAAGGAGGAAGTGTGGGGGGAAATGCAGGCGATCCTGGGGAAACTTCGCTGTCACTGCGGCGGCCGAGGGCTTTTCGGCTTTGTAATCGCGTACATGTAGTTCGAAGCGCCTTTCCTTAGGGCTTTAAGGGTCAAGTGCTGTATTCCAAATAGCAGCTATAACTACTCTCGATTATTATTATTATGCTGATGTTCCTAAATGGGTTTCTTCACACCTATCCCACCTAAAAGTACGTTAGAATATTCCTTTATTTATCTGTTGGCCTTTAAGAGTTTTTATGTTTTTGTTCTTGGAAAGGCATCGCAGGGTGCTGTGCCAAAACAACTATTGCACCCCTGGATCGAGTCAAGATTTTGCTGCAGGCTCATAACCACCATTACAAACATCTAGGTAAGATGGCTGCTGTATACATAACTTTAGGTTTGAAATGTAATGCTTGCGATTTAGGGTTGTTGGTTCGTTCAGCAAAGGTACTGTATAGAGAAAGGTCCTGATGAGGCAGAAGGTTGGTTTCTGTCTGGCCAGTGTGCTGGGCTCCGTGCCATGCTTTGTGAGTAAAAAAACACCAAATCTACCCTGCATAAAATGTGTCAAGCCTGTAAATTCCTGTACTGATGGGTCAGAAATGGAGATGTTGGAATAACCCTGAGTAAAGCATAAGGCTTGACCCCTTCTTACTGAAATCAGCACCTTGGTAATGGCAGGCTTGAGTCGTTTATATAAAACCCCTCATGCCGGTCACTTTGTTCCTGTCTGTATTGTTGTTCTACTGTCTGTGTTGCTGCTGTGCTCATGCCAGTTTCCAGCAGTTGTGTCAATCAGACTTTTCCGAGTTGGTAGCCCTCCCAGAGGGGCTGGCGGTCGCGAGACCAGTGACAGCGGAGTCCTGGACATGTGCTAACGTTCACAGACAGCACTGTGATTGATGTGAATTGACAGTAACGGTGAATTTGTGCTCAATGTAAGGTGCAGGTGAGCGGTGTTTGGCCCCGGATCATGTTGTGGTGAGAAAATAAGCTATTAATTGCCAGTGTATTCTGAAGCATTTCCTGTGTGCTTGTCATAGCGCCGCCTTCTGCATAGTATTTGAAATGCTTTATGTCACATTTTAAAAACATGTCACCATTTATGTTCAGTTCAGGTGGATTACAGGTCTCCGAGGCGTTCTTTTGCCTTGATTGCCTTTAAGAGATTTTAATTTAGAAATTTGAGATTTTAAACTTAGAAATCAAAGATCAATTATAAAGTGATTCAGGGTGTAGAATTAAATCTTAAGGCAAAATTCAGGTGATATATATTCATTTCATCGTCCCCAAAATGAGAAACACGAAACACTTGGCAACTTAGTACCACGCTCAACTAAGTATGCATTCAAATCTTGTGGTCTAGCAGTTGGAGGCTGAAATAATAGTTCTGACATTTTAAATCCCTATTTTTTGTTTGCCTTGCATGGTGCTGTAATTGGCAAAGTATTACATTCTTCTTTGTTTAAGGTGTGAGATACATGATTCCGATTATGAGAAATTAGTCTGACTTGAAGGGATGTTTCTGTTAGGTGTAGGCAAAAAGAAGATCTTGTAGGTGGTGTATGTGTAAGTTCAGAGGCACAATAATAGTTTAGCTCATCAGAGTTCTCACAGGGTACTCTTACTGCCCTTGCTCTATAGATTTCCTGACACACAGATCTCAGACCATGTATTCTAAGAAATAAAAAATGCTTTTTCAGATTCAGCTCTTATATCATTGATTAAGTAGTTGCATTTGACTGTGGAAACTGTTTAAATGTTTTAATGAAAGAGCTGTGATACAATATTTCACAATTAAAAAAAAATATGGTTTGAGAATTTGATAACTATTGTGTTTACCTTACAATGTGCTTGTAATAAGGCTGGAGGTTTTGCCCAAACTTTGTGTGGTTTTACACTGTTTTCCACCTGTTGAAAGGAATAGTGCTTCTTCTTGCAATACATCTCTGCAATAGAAAGAGCATAAGGTCATAAGTAATGAGAGTCTCAAATGTATTTACTGTATTAATGGTGGTATTTAACCTCTAATTAAGCGTGTAGCAATAGTAGATTGTTTTGTTGTGGTTCTAAATTAAAAAATAAAAATACTTAATTGCCTGGAATGCAAGTCAGTGAGTTCCCTTCGTTCTGTTGCTAATGGTAATGTTTGTGGGTGGGTAGTATCACCTGCAGTAGGTCTCCTTATGCTCTGGGGCCTGAAATACCTGAACTCATAAGAATTTGGAAGGTGGGAAAGCTGATAACCTTAAACCTCCTCCTCCTGTCAATGGTTGTGCCCTGGAAATAGAATTTTTCAGCTTCCATAGTCACATAGGCAGTGTGGTCAGGCCTCAAGTTCTTCACCTACTACCTTACTGTTAGTTACACTTGCTTGATTTTTATTGTGACTGTTAATATCTCTCTTTGTATTGCTGACAGGAGTGTTTTCTACATTGCGTGCCGTCCCAAAAAAGGAGGGTTACCTTGGGCTATATAAAGGAAACGGGGCAATGATGATTAGAATCTTTCCATATGGTGCAATTCAATTTATGGCATTTGACCAGTATAAAAAGGTAGTATAACTTTTTTTTTTTTCTTTTTCCTGGCTACAAAGAATTCAGGTTCTTTTAATTACTGAAACAAACAGTGAAACTTCTGTGCCCTATTAGCTGCACTTGTTTTCTCAGATTGCTTAGTTATACCTGAATCTGCTGATTAAAAGTGTCAGGGCAACAGTGAAACTCTTCGCAGCATTGTTTAAGGAAAAAAAAATTCTCACCAATTTTAGTGCTTTTGTCTTGCTTTTAAAATATATGTGTGTGCATATACCTGCATTAAACAAGGTATTGGGGAACCTGCTGCTAGTCATTCTGCTAAAAAGGGAGCCCTCTGTTTATAAATGGAGGAGGAATAAAATGTAACATCTTTGCTGTATTGACAGTTGACATCTTTGCTTACTACTTGACAGTTGGAATAACTTAAGCCCCAAAGTCTGGATTTATGGCCATCATATTTAACTTATCAAATGACTGTGTCACCTTGCAGATAACAATGGTGTGCATATTTCAGAGTCTCCTCCATTCTGCTCTCATGCATTTACTTTTGTAGTAAATTGGAAATAAATCCCTGAAAAATCTTTTGGGGGTCAGATGTTAGCTTGGCCATGTTTTAAAGCATTGCTTATACAAGATCAAAAATATAATCTTATTTTTAGCCATGAGGAGTTTGTTGCCTGAAAGGTCAAATTTAGTTCCCATTAAATTGCCTGGTATTTACTGAATACAGTGGAATTCAAATTGCAATCCTTTCGAGAAGAGCAAGTTTCAGAAGAAATGATCTTCCTTGTAGTAGAAACTACTTCTTAAACCTTCTCAGTTATTTGCTCTAAATCTGGAACTTCTAATTTCCTTCCAGGACTTGGAAGTTTATCAAACATCCAATAATCTGGTACATGATTTCTTGCTCTTTATTATTATTATTATTATTATTTTTTAATCTGGCTAAGCATGTGCTTCTGAAGATATCTTTATAAGAATAAGTTTCATACACTGTATGTGGGAAAGTAATTTCCTTTTCTCAGTTTCAAACAAGCCCATTTTCAGCTTTGTTCGGTGTCCTTTGCTCTCTCATGCTAGGATAGCATTCAGTTTGCCTTGTTTGACGCACATTGAAGATAACTAAATAAATAAGTAATCTGTCTCCTTAAGTAAATAGTACTAATACTTTCAATTGGCCACTATGTATTGTTAATAGCACTTTTAGTACTTTAGTGTTGCTGATAAGAATTTTTCAGGAAATTTTCTCAGTAATTAGTTGTACTGTTTTGAAATTTGCAGTGTTCTAAACTTCTTAGAAACAGCTATGCATTAGCATCAACATTCTAGTAAAGTATTATATGCTTCCCTGCATTTTATGATACATGTCTGTTGTAAATACAATAAATTGTAATGTTTGGTATTTTGTAGGTAATAAAGAAGCAACTTGGGATTTCAGGACATGTACATCAATTAATGGCTGGATCTATGGCAGGTATAGTTTTGTACTTGCATTTCAGACATTCTTTTTGCTGAAAGGTTGATGTGTTTTTAGAAGATGATTTAATGTGTTTTCAGGTCAAACTGAGCTGTAAACTTATATTAAGGAAAATATGCTAATAAATGTTTTAAAATACTGATTACTTGCTTAATTGAAAAGTTTGTCTAAAAGTATTCTTTAGAGCGTATTAAATTCAAACATTGGATTCCATGCTATGTTGTCAAGCATACTTACTGCAGTGTTTTTTATGATTTAAAAAAAAAAGAAAAATACAGGGTCATTAAGATAATAAAAGTTTTACTGGAATTAACTTAGCCTGCTTGCCTTTCCAACCAAGCTGAATGAAGCCCAGAGAAATGGAGAACTGTAGCTGCTTAAATGGTGATTTCTTTGGGTTTCCCTGAAATGTCTAGACTTAAAACATACAAAATAAGACTATCATGATATTCCTTAAAGCGTACATGTGAAAATTATTTGTCAGTTAGTGAAGTGGCAATAGAACAAACTACTTGTAAACTGTCAGTATAAAATATGATTATACATACCTATTTTCTTCTTGTCAGTTATTCAGCCAAAAGTAGCTAAGGAAAAATAAGAGAAGAAAGAATTTAGTGGACTGAGTTTTAATCAGAAGTTTGTGTGCATGTGTGGGTTTTTTTTTTTAAAGCATTTACAACAGGCTTAATAGTGTCTAATGGCAGTCCTTACATAGTTACAACATGACTATTAATATGTAGCCTCTTCTGAAATTTGTCATCATGTTGGGACACCGTACTGATTGTCTTCCACATAGTTAGTGTAATGGAAGTAAAATTAATATATGGTGCCATCTGGAAAGCCTAATCAACTGAAATGCTTAATGTGGTGTATTTAGGTACAATACGAAGGAAGGTTTTGGCGTGGAGAACCCCAACGCTTAAGTACATAAGCTAGACTTAAGTGTGCAGTGAAATGACTATCACAACTGTATTGATAGTACATCACTTTGGAATCTTATTGCTCGTCTCCTAGGTGATGGTAACTGCTTTTTGAGTCTTAGATAAATAGTAAAGGAGAAGGTATTATATTGAGGATAGTAGGAAGAAGGAGGCACCAAGAAGAACATAGAATTTGGAATATGATACTGAGAGTCTTTCAAATTGCAAGTATGAGAAAAGACCCTCAGAGCAACTGTTAATACTATGTTAATAAGCTATAACTCCTCTAGCTTAGTATCTTTCTGGCTCCACCAAGGGATATTCTGATGCTGCTTCCACATTTAAATAGCTGCAGGAGACATGAACCCTGTGTTGGTGGAGAGAAGTCTTGCCAGTTTCTTGGAACCTAATATTATGCAGATGAAGATGGGTAGCCCTTGTTTCCCTTTTCCTTTTGTCCCCTCTCTGTCATCCAGCCACACAGCCATCTGCATTCCCTTCAGTGTATGCTATTGACAGTTAAATCCTGCTTATGCTGGAGTTTCCAACATTGCTAACAGTCAACAGATCTGATTCAGCTTCAAAATGGTGGGAAACTTTTGAATATCTCCTGTAGCAGATAAACAGGATCAAAGGCATATCCACAGTGAAGAGAAAAGCAGTGAGGTTGGGGGCAGTGCAGTGAGAGAAAAGAAAAACCTATTGTAATGCATATATTTAGGAGGCCAAGTTAAAGTTACTGTGGAAACTTTAACTCTGAATTTCCTGAGCCTTGTGTGATTCAAATTTCAGCTGTAACACCTCGTTAACAGATAAGTGCCTTATAATGTCCTTTTAGAAAAGACAGCTGGGGAAGAGGAAGAATATCATATATATTACTGTGGTGTAGGAAACCAAATTATCAAACAACACCTGCATATAATATTCCGTACAGGAATTGATATTGATGATGATATTGAAAAATAAAATGTTTGTTTGATTTAGGCTAGTTATGGAGAAGTTACCTAGAGCACAATAAAGATATTATATATATATGCGTATATATATAAAAGCTTCTGTATCCAGCTGATGTGTTCGTACCCCATTTTTGCAAACATATTTCACTCTTCTTTCCCTTGCTGTAGAAATTGTTTATTTTTTGTTATCAAAGATGATGACTAAGAATGGAAGAGTGGTGGGGAAACGGGGAGACAAGACAGGTGCCCGAACAGCCAGTCTCGCCAATAACTCCGCAAGCGTGGGCAGCAGTTAAAGATGCACTGATAATTCCCACTGTGCTTCATTTGCACTTAGTCTGTGTAAACTGATATCTTTTCTTTTGAAGTTATCAGAGGAGTTTGGGGAAATCATGACAAGTGAAAACTGATCTTTTCCTGACTTCAGTGTGCCAAGGACGTGAGTCTGCATTTGCAGGAAAAAAAACCCCTGCTCATTAGCAGTTCTTAATAGAAAAAGTAATTCCTTTGAGGGAGGAAAATAAGAAAAAGAAAAGCCCTCACAATACTGTCCTGTTCTTTCAGATCAGACACTGGAAACTGTAGTATTTGTCTCTTAGCTGGGAATAGATTTTCAATTCTGTCGTGTTTAATCAGCTATGGGAAACATTTTGGCCCAACTCCAGTTAATTGAACTCCAGTTTAACTTGAATTAATTGAGAAAGATTTTGCTCATCAAGACATGGGATCAGCCTTAAGATATCTGAGCTCTGACAAGCCTAATACTTAGGGAGTCGAATTGAGGTCAGTGTTTTTGTACGCTATCCCACTGGATTTCACTGTCAAAAAAACGTCCTCCGTCTTCATCCCTGCCAGTGTACTTTTTGCTCGGATGAGCAGTATGAAGTAAAAGCAGCATACTTGTCCCAGTTGCTTCAAGAAAACATGCTTTGTGGCTCATGGCACTTTTATTGAACTGTTGATTTTATTTATTTATTTATTTTTCCCCCAGAAATCATGGCTAGAGGACTGTATTTATTTATGTCTCATCTTTTCATTCCCCCAGCCCAACTCGAAGTGCTGTTTTTGTGCTTAGTGTTGGCTACTTATTGCAGTCACCAAATTATTGGTGGGTCTGTTTGCTAGTCTTTGTTCAGACAGTGTTCCCAGATGATCCCTAAGAGCAGGGGTAAAGCTGCTCGTTTTCTGAAATAGGATGGCTTTCCTGTGAATGCTGTAAATAGTTCCTCCAGCTTGTTTTTTAAAAGTGCTTGGATTAACCCATTTTGCAATTTTGGCGTATCTCGGGCATTTCTGATTTCTGGGTATCTCAGGCAATTGGTTAGGAAAAGGCTGCAGTACGTGAAGGAGAATGTATTGAATAATGTAATTCAGTGGGAACGGTCCTAAAACTACTTTGGTGCTTTGCAGCTTTTAACTTCAGAATGCTATGGGTGTAACTGCATCAGAAATGAATTGCTGATGTCTGCTTTTAGGAGGTATAGTCCAGAGCCTGAGAGGTGTTTTTCTCTTCTAAAATTAAGTTACTGGTAGGATATTCCAGAAGGCAACAATCTTTACTCTTAATTGACAGATGACCAATGTATTTTTTAAATAGCCTTTTCATGCTATGAATGATTTCCCCATTTAATCCTGGAATTTTCTCTCTGATCATTAGGCTTATGGTTTGTTTGTTTGTTTCTTCCAAACATAAAAGTTGCAAAGAACTTGCCTGAAGCTGATTTGTTCCCCCTTTTTCTTATTTTCTCGGCATTTTTTTTTTCCTGAGGTCAATGATATACTATGAGAGAGTAAGCTTTCTCTTTAATAAACAGTTTTAACTTCCCCCTCCCAAATCATTTGTCAATGATCCGAGTGGTCTATCTTAAAGGTTAGAAGTAGGAAAGAACCTGTTATTCAGGTAGCTACAGGAGCTCTTTATACTGGAGTTTCTTTTGTCATCTGTCTCCAAAATTACAAGCTGGTCAACACCTAGACTGTTTTGGAGTAGCTCATAACTGGATGAATCGTAAGATACATGTCTCCCAGCAGCTTGTGAAATAAAAGTGTTGGTATTAAATGAACTGCAGAAATGCAATAATTCTTTGTAAGATTCTTTGGGCGTTAGCAGTATACAGGATATACTGCACAACAGTGGCTTCATATGAAGCCACATCTAAATATTTTGAGTTGCAGAATCTCATTCTGATTATATATCTTTATGATTCAGATTTTAAGCATGAAGTTTGACAGTCTGGAGTTTGTTCACTTAACCTCAGTACTCTTCATTAGTAGGATCTTGACTTTATCTTAGGTATCATCGTAATGTATCTGGTATCTTCCAGCTCAGTAGATATATACATATATCCACATTCAGTAATCATGTGCTTAAATTCTGACACAACCATTTGGAATTAACCATGTAAATTTGGTGATTTGACTTTTTAGGTATGATAGGTTTAGAAAGCATTTGATGAGTCCGATGCTTTTGAGACATGAACTTAAGATGATTGCTCATGCGAATACAGTTAGGCCTATATAAGTATTTGGAGAATCAAGGTGTAGGTATGCAGCTTCAGCATGTGCTAGGTGTAAACATAAATTCTTTGCATGCAGCTGGAGTTCCTGTGTGCTGGTTATTAGTGATTTTTTAATGTTTTGTTAACAAAATAATTTGTATACATTGTTATATTTACTGCCACAAAGGGAAATTCTGTTTTTCAGAATAATCCTAGAACCAGATAAGGTGTTAGGTGAGTTTTGTTTGCTTGTTTTGTTTTTGTTTTTAATAAAGGTATTACAGCAGTGATTTGTACTTACCCTCTTGATATGGTTAGAGTTCGTCTGGCGTTCCAAGTAAAAGGGGAACACAAGTACATGGGAATTATCCATGCATTCAAGATGATTTACACAAAGGTATTTTTTTTTAATCTTCAGTCATGTCAAAGCAAAATGTGCTCTTTAAATAATTTGCACAGCATTGAAAATAGTGACTTGATGGCAAATTCACACGTGAACTCATTGCGTGTGCACTGAACTCTTTTAATATATATATATATATATAAAAAAATTACCTGGATGCTTTACTGATAAGAAATAGCTCAAACTGGTAGAAGTGGGAAGTAAAGACGAAGAGCAGAAAAAAAGTAGATTTTCAAGATAAAACTAGTAAAGACACCAAGAAATATGGGGAGGAGGGATGTGTGTAATTCAGAAACATCTCCTAGGTTCTGATATTGGATGTAGTTTTTTTATCTTTTTCATTTTTTCCCTCTATCTCCTTTGGATCCAGGCATTCCTCCCCTCAGTTCTTCAGGCACAAGAAATTCAACTTGATTTGTAGCTTTTTGTTGCTAGATGATGCTAGTCAGATTGCTGTTGTGTAAACAGATGTAATCTTTTTTTAAATATTTGATATATTTCTTGCCACAAATTGGTTTGTGTTTTTCTTTCAAAGGAAGGTGGTTTTCCTGGGTTCTACAAAGGTCTGATGCCAACTGTTGTAGGAATGGCTCCATATGCGGGTAAGCTAAGAGCGGAGCGCGCCTGTCCTTTGGCAGCAACGTGCATTACTAAGTTTGCATAGTACTTTTGCACACTTAGGTTTCCATTTTTTCTGTTAAAAATGTAGGATTATGTTTTACTGAGCAGAGAGGAATGCCACAAAGAAACATTTGCAACTCTTCAATCTTACTCTAGAAACGATCAATGGGTGTTAAAGCATGTCAGGAAAATCCTTTTTTTTTTTTTTTTCTGAGGCTTGAAGTCTCAGAGAGGAAAAGGGAGACAACTGGTGATTCTTTCTGTTCTGCTTCTGCTCTTTTTTCCCTTTTCCCCCCAAGAACAGGGTTCCTCTCTCAAACTGATAAAGCTGTAAGAGGCTGAGTCCTCTGTAGATGGGGACTGGAACCTCCCTTTTGGCTCCATCTCCTGGTTATTTCTGTGTACGTACTTAAACTGAAGAGATTGCTGACATGGGATGAAAGAGCATCAGAGCAGCCTACAAAACTGCCTGCCTGAACTACTCTTTTGACAAAAGACCATAAATGTTTCACTGATTTATCGAGTTAACATAGATCTTAGCAGTTACTCTTAAGTAACTCTTAATTGCTTAGTAACTTAAAAGAGTTCTTTTAAATATAAACGTCCATTCCTTTGTACAGAAGTTATATAGAAGTTCAAAGCATTGTATGACTGTACAGGTTTTTTGTGTGTGTGTTTAAGAAAACATCTAGTAGAATTGGCAAATAACTTCATTTTGTAGATGCAGCTTTGTGTTTGTTATGATGCATATGTAAAGAAGTTTGTTTTGTGCAACTCTGTAAAATAAAATTTCCTTTTAGGTTTTTCATTTTTTACTTTTGGTACCTTAAAGAGCATTGGACTTGCTCAAGCACCTAACTTACTTGGACGGCCTTCGTTAGATAATCCCGATGTCTTGGTTTTGAAAACACATGTAAATCTGCTGTGTGGTGGCATAGCTGGAGCAATAGCTCAGACAATATCGTAAGTTTGGAGTGCTGCTTTTCTTTTCTGTATAGCTGTCCATTCTAATAAAACTGCTACCTGAGACTAAGATATTTTGCAAGTCTAGTTTTAACTGGGATAATCTGACGCTAGACCTCACTTATTTTGTTGTGTTTCACATACTACATACATTAGTTAATCATCAGAGGCTTTGAAAGTATTGTTAAATTCAGACAAAACCTCTACTGAAATCACTTGGAATATTCCTTGTTAAACTGCAAAAATTGTCTTATAAGTGTAATTTGCAGAATTTTATTATTCCAAATTACTTTGAAAACAATATAATTTGTAAAGTCATGGAATATAAAAATAAGTGTCAAGATACTCTATTTGGCATTTGTTTACTTTTACTTTGTCTGCTCTCTCCGGTCTCGTACAGTTCTTGTCGCATTTTTAGTTTTGGCCATAAAGTAAATTAATTCGGATTCATTTGGCATCATATTCTTTCACTAAATCGCTTCATTACAAATATCACACATATCTTTTCTATTAATCCTTAAACTGATAATTTTATTCTTAATTCAGCTATGCTCTCTCTCCAGCATTTTAAGCAGTGTTTTATACTCTCATTTGATCTTCATGCATGTCCTTTACTTGTGGCAAATGGAATACTCAGAGAGATCTGATCTCCTGGTTTTGATTATATAGGAAAAGTCTCCAATTCTGGAGAACTTTCAGCTGTATTGAGAATCTGAATTGGATTCCTAGCTTACTGAAAAGGGAGCATAGAAGTTTCACATGGACTATATATTTAACAATATTCATATGGTCATCATGCACTGTGTTGAAGTGCTGTTCAAATATCTCCTCTGCAGGTATCCACTTGATGTAACTCGTAGGCGAATGCAGTTAGGAGCCGTTCTCCCAGACTCTGACAAGTGCCTGTAAGTATGTGTTTTTTTTTTTTTTTAAACACAGTTAATAACATGTTTTGATAATGCTGGATTTTTGAGCAACCTTTTGTTGTATTTCAACTGAATTTGCAGTCATTTTTCCATAGTAACAGGATCCTTAATAAGAGAGGAGCCCATTCTACTGAAGTGAGCTTTTTCTGAGACTTTTTTAGACTTTTTAATGGTACAGAATGTGTTCGGTAAGATAATTTTGTACAATATTCTTTTATCTGGCCTTTTTTATATATTTCAAATAATGTCACCACACAAATTGTAGTTGGGGTTCCCAGATTTAATGCTTCCAGATTTTTTGTTGTTTGCTTTCGTCTAGTAGATGGGGAAGAACCATAGTTAATAATACAAAAATCAGAGTATTAAATTACCTTATGTCTTAAAAAAAAAAACAAATCTGAATTTCAAATAGCTGCAACCAAGTTGAATACCCAAAAAGCTTCGTCTTAGTTGCTTTCAATTTTGTGGAATTGTGCTTCTCTGAACCTAGAGTGATTCAGTGTTAACTCTCATATGGCAAATTTGATTCTACTAACAGTATTCTTAGTTATCTTTCCTAAAAACACAAAAGTGTTTACTGTGAAAATTGCTATTGTGTTCTCCTTAGCAGCAGCATCAATTTTTAGCTTGACTATTTTCCACTCACGTTCTTTTAAAATAGAAATAGGATAATTGTTTTTGGATTTGTGTGTTTCTGAGAACTAATCCCTTTACAGACGTTAGGCTTCTTAATTAAACAATTTGTGGCAACTGTGGAAAGATTCCTGGAAAGATAGTAGGCATAAATGTTTCTTCAGAGGAAAAAAAGATAAAACAAGTTAGAAATATTGAAACTTCGAGGTATATGGAAGATGTTCTCAAAAGATAATATCTGTATTAGCTTGGAAATATTGAGCTTTTTACTGAAGTTATTTTATTTTATTTTATTTTACTTTATTGTGTTTTTCTACAGATCTCTCGAGAACCAAACATATTAAGTCAGGATTTTGACTTTTGAATGTTTCTATTGGCTAATGGATTTAATTTTTGTTTTTCCAGTACAATGGTGCAGACGCTGAAATATGTGTATCAACAACATGGAATAAGAAGAGGATTGTACCGTGGTTTATCTCTAAATTATATTCGCTGTATTCCTTCACAGGCCGTGGCTTTTACCACATATGAACTTATGAAACAATTCTTGCACCTCAACTAAAATATTTTTCAAACTTTACTGTTAAGCTACACTATCAGTCTTCAAACTATATTTGTGAGTAAATTACTTGAAATTTCAAGAAACCTCTCTGTTACTGTGGAACTGCTGTTGTCTGACAGCTTAGTTTTATTTGCCAAAACATGGTTGATTTCCTGGAGTCAAACCAGGGGATAGATCAGTATGAATAGTAGTTAGCTATAAACTTTTTCTTGCACTTGATCTTTTAAGCTTCCTTAGGTTAATATTAGGAATTTCACAGTTTTACAATTATGCCCATATTTTATATGGGTTTCGAGTTGTTAGTTATTTAGCATTATCACCATTCCAGGAATTATACTCATGGTTATATTGCTTTTTAAGCTAGTAGTTAAGCATCTGTTCTTCTTTAAAAATCAAATTGAATATGCTGATTTGAATAATACATAATGATTTTCAAATCCAAATATTTGCCAGCCTTGTAGAAGCCAAATTCAGTAGACCACAATTTAAGCATCTTTTAACTCTTTTTTTTTTTTATACAAGTTTTCTGTATCGTAAGATCAATGCATATATCCTCACATGGGCACATACAAAGGTCTCTAACCATTTCAATAAATAATGACAATGAGATGTATTTAATATTATTAGCAGTCTTTCAATTAGGAAGTTTCTTTGCGCACTCCCTAATCTAAAGAATCGTTGTCTATCTACACAATTGAAAACAGGACTGGGGCAATATTAGTTTTACAACAAGTTTTAGAAGAAATTCCTTAAACACAATTAGTACGGGCCTGATCTTGCAAGGTGTTTATGTACCTTTTCTGCGGTGCTGAACATTCTCCAATCAGTTCCTGAAAGCAGAGTTGATTGTATACTTTCCGCTGCTGGCTCTTACAAACGGGTTTGTCCATCCCTAAAACATCATGACAAACACTACTGCATGCTGCTGCATTCGCTTAATTTGGGCGTATGGATAGTAGTCAACCTCTTGGCCAAAAAAAAAAAAAAAGAAGATTGTATTGGAATCTGTAGATGTGTATATGTACTTTCTCTAAAGTATGGTATGCAATAGACTATTATGCTTGTTTTTTTCCTTCTACAATTTCTTTTGTAAAGGAATTGCTTTCCAGATTTGTTTATACATGATTTGCATTGGTACTTTTGATTTTATTCATTTGATTCAGGAAACTGTAAAGCATTTGCATAAAGTGACGTAAGTTATTTATTTATTGTAAATATTTTAGCAGTGTCCTTTAAGATTTGGTGATGGTCATGTTAACTGAATTGGTGGTTGGTAAGATCAATTTGCTTAATTCTGATAAATTTGACAAACTGGACTTTCATTTATATATTCAATGATTTTGTGGCTTTTTTTTCCAGTTTCTTAAAAGTATATATTTCTTTGATATTTAACAATATAGTTACAGACAGAGAATGAGATGTACTTGAATTTATTTTATTAAAAATCTTGAACTAATATCTGTGTGATTTGTATGCGTGTTTGTGTGGGAGCAGTACATGCTTCTGGAATTATCTGTATGTTTCCCCGTGAAGGTAAACTTGCATAAAACTGTCATTTTTAATTAAAAGAGACAGCAATTCAGCTCTTGGTCTGATTCTTAGTGTTATTTGAAGGAAAATTAATTACTATCAGAATGAAAGTTTATCATTAAAAGTAGATTAAAAGTCTACTACTTTTTTTTAAAAAAAAAAAAAAGCTGCAGGATGTGCTCTTTGTATTACACTGTTTTTTTAAACTGCAAACAAAATTACTGTCTTGCCAATCCTTGAAACAATTGGGTAGGATACTGAATGTAAAAGTAGAACTATGGATGAAACAGTACTCTATTTTGAGTATTAGTTTTTCAAACACAATATTAACAAATTAAAAAGTCAGAAGTATTTATTACTTCAAAAAGACTTATGGACAAAACATGTGTGCACTTGTGTCCAGGGGCTAGTTTGGAGGAGACAAGCTCTATTCTGAGTCTTTGGGCAGCTATTTAAAACCCTTTCTGAAAGCGTTAGCTATTCTTAATCAGTTAAAACACAAAATTTATTATAAATACCTGACTGCTACAAGCAGGAGAAAGTTAGGTCTCCAAGTTTCTATCTGCCCTATTTTTTTTTCAGCACAGTCCTATGAAAATTGTTTTTCATTTTAAACTATTGATTTTTTCCCTCTAAACATTTTTCTTGTCTGTCTTCCATGTTTCTAGGACACTGATTTGAGCTATCTTATTTTCAACCAGTAGAAAGTAAAATAAACTCCAGCCAGAATCACAGGGTGTTAAGCTCCATTTAATATCTCTGAAATAAATTCTTTATTTTTTTGTTCCCTCAAACAGGAGTTCTGCAGCTCAGCTGTTCTTAAACTGGATCTTTAGTTTTCAGTCATTCATTAATATTTGGAACGAGTTGGCACTTGCAATAGGCCTTTTATGCGTGTGTCTTGAAACAATCATATTTCAATTCAAACAGGGATAAAACCATATAACTCTTGTGCTTGGTCGTTATCTATGTTTTTACTTTGTGCAAGCAGCAAGTAAGTCTGCTCAGCCCAGGCAACTCTGCTTTAGTTTTTGTATCACAGATATGCGACTGGTGGCTGTAATTTTAGATTACACCTGACTTGCTCTTTTTCTCATAGTTTAACAAACCTTAGTTCCTACTTCTTTTCTGATGGTGACATTAACCATTTACTATCCAATATAATCCCAGATTTGTATTCAGGAATGAATTTGCTACCTGGGCTGGCAGTATATGAGTGTGTCTTACACCATCAGTTGTTGCAGAAGACACCGTTGTATGTTGCTATTACCATTTTCCTTGATTAAATGTCTGGCATGAGAAATTAAGGCATACAAAATTGTAAACTGTTCAAACAATAAATTCTCGTTTGTCACTAGAATGAAGAGAACACATTTCATTACCCTGTGATGAAAAAGACTTTGAGATTAAGTTAATGAAATTACACAGTTTTTTTCAAACCTGAAATCTCTGTAGGGTCAAAGTTTGGGTTAAAACCTGAATTCTGTATTTCACAGTTTTTTTTTTTTTTTAAGATATTTGAAACAGCTAGGGTTGTAACTATTTTGGGGGAAAAAATCCACTAAAACAGCCGTATTTTATAGTTTTATAACTATATTCTTGACTTCTAAAACACTGAAGGAGTGTAAGGTAAATGTATAAGAAACATGAAATAGGTTACTGAATATGAGAAATTATCACTTCGATAGAGTAAAAATATTTGTGTAGTGTTTTAAATTTAAACCAAGTAATGTGACACCATGTTTAAAGGTACAGATGCCCAGGCATTCAATTAAAAATAAGCTTATAAGAGAAGTTCCCCGATGGAACGACATGAATGTAGTCTCATATTTCAGGACTTTCCCAAGGAAAGGCAAAATGACACACCTTTAAAAATTCGAGACCTGGGCTTCCTGGTAGGGTTGTCTAACCATGGACTAAAACTCACCTTTTTTCATCGCGGGGTTGAGGCCTGCTCCTGTGCCTGACTCTTGGCATCATGAAAGAGGGGCAAAACCACAAGACCATTCTTTAATGTGAGAGCTGGGGTATGGATTTAGTGGGGATAGATGTAGTCTGTGGGTGACTTCAATCCTTACTATAAATGATGCTTTCAGAACCAGAAGTTTTTCCACAGTAGCGGCCAGAAATAATAATAATAATAATAATAATATTAATAAAGAAGGGGGAGAAGAAAGAAAAACTGTGTACCTGTAAACTTCTGCTTTGCCTCAGGACACCTCCGTGCACTGCCAGCTAACAGCACCAAGCTCAGGGCAAATTTTCCTCGGGGTTCTTGAACTGTTAGGCTGAGGTTTGCCCAAAATTACTTGATTAGGAAGGGCATATCCTTATCCTTTATATATATGTGTGTATATATATAAACCCTCTGTGATTATTAGTTGCCGCTGCCGCGCTGACAGCAGTGGCGGCTGTGGCGGTAACGGACCTGG